AGGCAACCCGTTGGAGAGGCTGCGCTGCCACCTAAAACCCCCATCTGTTCTCTTGCAAGGCCATTAAATCCAGTCTCCTTGGATGCACCGCTGGTTTTTGCTGTCATTGGAGCAGTTTCATTCTGGAGTGAAGGGAATTCAGGAAGCCACCGCTGGTCAAGCCACTTAGCCAGGAACGGTCTCAAGGAACCCAAAGAAGGGTTAACATCCGCCTTCTCCCTCTTTGTGATTCCTTGTCTCTCCATTAGCAGCAGAAACTTTGGGTTTATATTTATTGTATTCATTTATTTATTGTATTTGTATCTGAAAAGTACATGCAACTGGTGTGTCTGTAGATGCCTTGGCTTACAAGCTCCACCATCCCTTACTATTGGCTCTGCTGGCTAGGGATGATGGGACTTCTATGCCCAGAACATGGAGTGCCACCAGCTGCCCTGTTCTGCTGTGAGGAAAGCAGTTTTGTCAATGGCTGCCAGAGACGGTTCCGGATGCTTTTCTGTGACATCACAGCAGCTCAGCCAATCACTGCCCGAAACTGCCTGTGAGATTTATGTAGCAACAAATGGGAGGCAGGGATAAACCAAAGGGTGTAAACTGAAGCTCAGTCCAGACAAGACAGAGGTCCTGTTGGTTGGCGGATCGGGCTTCGGGGAGGGTGGATTGAACCTAGTCCTGAATGGGGTTGCACTCCCTCTTAGGGACAAGGTCCGCAGCCTGGGAGTGCTCCTCGACCCAGAGCTTTCACTGGAAGCTCAGGTGACAGCAGTGGCGAGAAGCACTTTCCTTCAGCTTCGGCTGATCCATCAGCTGCACCCCTACCTGGAGAACGACTGCCTGGCGACAGTGACACACGCGTTGGTGACTTCCCGCCTTGACTTCTGTAACGCGCTCTACGTGGGGCTACCCTTGAAGACGGTCCGGATACTTCAATTGGTTCAAAATAGAGCTGCCAGGCTGCTGACGGGGACGGGGCGTTATGCTCACACGACTCCAGTCCTCCGTCAGCTTCACTGGCTTCCCATTGAAGTCTGGGCCCAATTCAAGGTGTTGGTGATGACCTATAAAGCCCTAAATGGCTTGGGTCCTGGTTACCTGAAGGAGCGCTTGCATCCATATATGCCAGCTGCCCCTTGAGATCAGTGGGGGAGGCCCTTCTCCGGGAACCCTCCGTGAAGGAAATTAGGAGGGTAGGTACTCGGAGGAGGGCTTTCTCTGCGGTGGCGCCCAATCTATGGAATGCGCTCCCCAGAGAGGTCCGCCTGGCGCCGTCGTTATTTGTTTTTCGGCGCCAGGCGAAGACCTTTTTATTCAAGCGGCATTTTAATTGTTAACAATATTTGCTTATTTATCTGGCCAGGGCGACTTCTTTTATATTGTTATTTATTTTATATTGTTAATTTTATATTGTTATTTTTGTATTTTATTGTGTTGTAAGCCGCCCCGAGGCTTCGGCAAGGGGAGGCATAGAAATGTTTTAATAAATAAATAAATAAATAAGCTTTGCCAGAACCCCCCAGTCTTTTGTCATCAAGCCCTGTACACATAGAATCATAGAGTTGGAAGGGGCCAGAGGGCCACCAGGTCCAACCCCCTGAGTTAAACCATCCCTCCCAGATGGCTCTCCGGTTGCATCTTGAAGGACTCTGGGATGGGGAGCCCTCAACCTCCCTCAACAATGGTTGGTTCCACTGTTGTACTGCTCTAATAGTCAGGAAGGTTTTCCTGATATTTAGCTGGAATCTGGCTTCTGGTAACTTGGGCTTGTTATTCCGTGTCCTGCACTCGGGAGTGATCGAGACGAGACCCTGTCCTTCCTCTTTGCCACAGCCTTTCAAGTGTTCGTAGGGTACTATCCTATCTCCCCTCAGCCTTCTCTTCTCAAGGCTAAACATGCCCACTTCTTTCCATCTCTCCTCACGGGGCTTTGCCTCCAGCCCGATTCGTCCTTGCTGCCCTCCTCTGAGCCCTTTCCAGCGTGCCTGCATCTTTCTTCAGCTGTGGTGCCCAGAACTGGACACAGGACTCCTGAAGAGGCCCAGAAAGGGGGACTGAGGGGGACTGGTCTTCATGGGACTGGGAAGGGATGCTTCTCTTAATGCAGCCCAAAATAGCATTTGCCCTTTTTGCAGCCACTTCACATTGTTGGCTCATATTTAGCTTGGATCCACAATTCCAAGATGCTTCTCGTTGAGCCAAGTGTTCCCCATCTTCTAATGAAGCATTTGGTTTCTCGGGCATTTCTCCCTATGGAATTTCATTTTGTTGTTGCTTAAGGGCACTATATGGAGTTGTGCTGTCAAGAGACAGTGGTTAATGGTTTCTATGGCAGAATCTGGAATGGGGCAGTTTACCAGGGAAGCAGGAACTCAACAAGAGGGGAAAAATGTGCCATCCGGTTGTTCTTTTTATGTTGGGGCAGGCACATTATTTTGCTCTTGGCATTTTGGGATTCACGCAGCAACCTGAACCTGCTGTCAGGCTGCCAGCACAATATTGGGAGCAAATCGTCTGGGAACAGTAAGAGAGGGAAGACAAATATCAGATGTCATCTGAGGCAACAGAGTGCGCTGCATTGTGCAAATGAGGTCAGTGGAAGGTGCTCTAAGTGTGCACAGTTTTTTGTACTAAATAAAACAATCTTGCTGAACTTGCGCAACTGTGAAGGTGCGCATTTCCACAAATCTGAAATAGGAAACTGTTATTTGGGTTATGTCCTGGGGTGGGGTGCTTGTTGTTAAAGGGACATCGGGCCGGAGAAGCTGGAAAGAGGTTTAATTTTTGCTTTTGCTTTCCCCTGACAGTTGTCGAAAGGTGAGCTTTCACTACTGTGATCTTTGCTCCTGAAAAGGGGTGGGGCCATTCCTCTCCCCTTTTGCAGCAAGATCTTCCAGGGTTTTGGAGACTCCTGTTGCATAGGTCCCTGCATCCTAAACTTTTCAACCCATTCCTGAGTCTCACGCTGCACAGGGAGAATGCAGCCCACCCTGTTTTCACAGACGGTGCTGGAATCTATTTTTTAAAAACAGGGAGGTGGGCAGGACAAAAAGAGGGTAGTTTGGCTAGAAGCCTATAAATGTTAAGTCAGGGGTGGGTAACCTCAGGTCTGGCCCACCTGAGCCCCCGACCACACTTGACCCCACTCACCTCCCCTGGCCCAGTTCCCTTTCCTCCAGCCAACAATGCTTTTGCGGTTTCCTAGCTTTTGTAGCTCTTCCCCCTTCTGACAGGCTTAGCATTGCAGTATCTTTCTGACTGGCTGCAAGAGCTTTAAGCTAAAGGTGCTGGTACTCTTTATATTGTTCGCCTCCCGTTTCTGCCCTTGGCCCCTCCACCTCCTCCACCCTCTAGTAGAATACAGCCCCAGGAGTTTATGCACCTGAATTTACCCCTTGGGGTAGAAGAGGTTCCCCAACCCTGCTCCGAGTGGACCCTAAAGTTTCTTTTAATTCTGTCCAGCCCGTTATTGAGCTTCATTGCATTTCTAGATAGCGGTTGATCTAATTTTGGTTTTATAATTCAAGAGTTGTTCTGTTTTGCAGGTGGAAAATGATCTAAATGGCAGGGTTGAAATAAAGTAAGACCATGTGGAGTGCTGATGAAAATGCTGGACCTGGGAGGGGTCCTGGAGGGGTCCTGGGAGATGTGGGCTTGAGTGCCCACTTGGATATAAAGCTCGCTGGTGACTGGGCCAGTTGGTGACACTCAGACTAACCTACCTTGCAGGGCTGTTATGAGGATGAAATACAGCTAGGTAAGTGGCCTTTGGTTCCTCACCAGAGGGCAAAAGGCAGGATACAAACACAATGCCATAATAATGATGCCTATTTAAAAATAAATGGCATTGTTTTCCATGGGACATTAGTCTAGAGTTGCAGACAAAATGTCTCACAGACGACATAGTGCAAAGAGTGCCTTTCTGTCTCCTCCCAGGACATTTTTAATTGCATCTTAAAGAAGAAGTCCACCACCTGCCACGCCACACACACCGTTATCCTAGCAGCTGCTCTAGTCCTTTTCGATCTGTGCACATTGATGACTGTATACAAAGCAAACCTAAGTAATTAGACATGACTTGCAAAGTGCAGGAATCGTATCGTGTTTTACAGAAGCCAAGAGCCAGTTTGCAATCGCCGCGCAGGGGTATTTGTCCCACTGAGCTGAACGGGACCTGCGTCCAGGCAAGGATCGTTCCAGGGCCAGGACTGAAATGGGGCTGTTGTCCTCAGGAAAAAGACTCCCTGCGCTCCATGGGGTTTGCTCTCAGGCAAATGTGGGTAAGATGGAGCCGTAGGCCTTCTTCTGTTATCTCCAGGCGCACGGGATCGAAAGCTCAGCACGCTCGGACGGAAGGCTTGCCCGCCACGGGCTGGGAAATCCTGGAAGTGGTAGGACCTTGGGGAGGGGGCCGTCCTGCCTTCCCGGCGAATGCTGGGAGTTGTAGGAATCTGTGGGGGTGAGCGAGGCGAGCAGGCCGGGGTAGGTCCTCCCTGCGTCCCTGGGTTGCAATGCTAGGCGCGCTCTGACAGAGGTCTTCACTCCCTCTTGCCGCGCACAGCAACGGCCGCTCGGGGATGCGGGACCGCAGGACTCGTTTCTCCTCTGTCCAGACGTGCACGGAGTTGCGCCGCGTGTGAACAGCCGCTTCCTGTGAGAAAGGAGAGGCCCTGCACGCTCTCGGGGAAAGCAAAAACCCGCCAAGCCGACCACCCACCCCTGCGCTTCCAGGAGCGCGCGTTTCATTTATGAAAGCGTCGACGGGGAGAGGCGCTCTGCACGCGACCAGAGGCGCGGCGGCGGCCTCGGCGGCAAGAGCCCGGCTTGCGGCGCCGCACGGGCTTCGCGCCTGCTCCGGCCCGGCCCGGCCCGGCCCGCGCGAGGGCGGCTCCCGGGCCGCGGCTCCTCCCCGTGGGCCGGGCCGGGCCTGGCGGAGGAGGCGGCGCCGGCCTCACCTATAGCCGCGCGCGGGGCTGGGCGCCGGCCTTGCGTGGGGCGCCGGCGAGATGGACCTGCGGATCCTGGAGCACCGCGTGCGGGTGCTGAGCCTGGCCCGCGGCGGCCTCTGGCTCTACACGCACCCGCTGCTCAAGATGCTGCTCCTGCCCCAGCGCAGCAGGTGCCCGGCCGGCCGGGGTGCGCGTCGGCGGGGCGGCGGAGGGCTGCGCTGCGCTGGGCTGGGCTGCGGGCGGCGTGGACGCGTGTCTGTGCGTTCGCACGTGGGGCGGCGGCGTGCTGCACGCGGCCCCGTCTCCTTCCCCGGCCAGAGCCCATCTTGGGGGTCGTGGTTGTAGCTGCAGGGCCGGGCGCTGTGGGTGTGCGTGCATGTATGCCTGTCTTTACATGTGTGTACAGGCGAGTGAGTGGGTGGGCGTGTTGTGGTGGTCACGTGAGTGTTGGGGGGTACCTGCAACATTGACCCGTGCTGGGTTTGCAGGAGTGTGTGCACGCGCAGGAGTGTGGATGGGTGCTGGAAGTAACGTGAGTGTGCCGGGCAGAGTCCTTTTCGTAGCTGCCGAATTTCACCGTGCAGGAGTTGCAGGAGTGTAAACACGTGTATCGGGAGGCGGGGTGAGCAAAGGACGTTTGTGGGACAGGCCCCTTTTGCGAGGTGGGAATGCTAAAGTGGCTGCAGAATGCCCCCCCCCCCCCGTGCACGTGCGCGTGAACCAAGGAATATTTGGAGATGGAGGCAGAAGACAGACGACCCCTAGTCGGTTTGTGACACTCTGTCTGGTGCTTGGCTGTGCCGGAGAAGGTGCTGTTGGAGCGCGCATGAACTGTGGAGCTCATTCTGTATGTTCGGTGTGTGGCCAGATGGGGGGAGGCATGGGGTGTGAAGAAATCGGGTTGTTGGTTTGCTGGGATGGAGGAGGATGGTGGTGGGGGGGGGGGGCTCTGGCTTAGGTTGACCTTCTGCATCTTTTAATGGGGAGGCACTGCCCCTTGAACTCAAAGGACTCCCACTGGGTGCCTCCTGCCAAATCCGTAGCCCCTTAGACTAGGGGGGTGCCTAGGAATAAAAGCGGGGTGCAGAGAGAACAAATCCGCATCTGTGGTTACAGCCCCCCGTTCTTTAAAGGCCTGTGAGCACTGGCCAAGCTCTCAGTAAGGTCTGGTTTCATGCGCAGACTGTGCGTAGAGCATGTAGTTACGGTGGGAAAACAGAAGTAAACATTCATCCCTCGGGTTAGTTAGTAGGTAGACTCTAATATTTCCATTAGCATCAGTGGATATTTTCCCCCGACCTTAATTGCTGTTAAGAGGTGAAATGGGGGGGGGGGGCTGGAACTTTGGGATGGGAAGGTTCACCCTCCCCTCACTGTCACAGACACCTAAGTGTGGGAAAAACCTTCTATTGCTGTCAATAGAAAGTTGGGGCTTTTCCCAAATTAATTACCATGGAGGGGGGTTGAGGGTGGGGGCTTTGTGCAGCATGTGGGGAGGGGAGTAACTCTTCCTAGCTGCAGTCTATTTAAAATGGCCCCTTGCCCAGCAGTGAAATGAAGGAGAAAGCCCTTCCAGTGACCCTAGAGGTTGTATGAATGTGGCCCCGGGGCTGTGGGGAGGGGATCTAGGGGCTAGGCCTTTCTGGGGCCAGGCCTCGCAACAGCCCTGTGCCTCCTGACACAGATGGTTGTGGATTTTTGACAAAACACAACAAGGCTCCCCACATGGCTTGAAAAGCTGAGAGAACAAGCAAACAAGCATCCTTCCACAATCAGCCTTTATGGGCTTGGCCAGAATTGTTGGCAGACCATCTGTTTTTAAGACTTTTGTCTGGGCTCTGTCCAACTTCTGGAATTCAGCACAGACACAGCTTGCATGGGATCTGATGCTGGATGGAGAGTCCCAGTCCCCACAATTTAAAACTTTAAATTTTATTGCCAACCACAAATCATTCAGTTGCTCCCTGTCTCATTTCTTCCAGTTCTAAATCTTTCCTCAGCCCAGTCCAAACCGGGGTGGGATCTATCTGAAATTTGGATACCAGAATAAAATGTTTCAAAGCTCATGTTGAAATGTGCAATTGTTCCCCGTGTGAAGGGCTTGGACACCAGCAGAAGAATGAAAAGAAGTCTTAGGAGATGCCAACAATAAATTGTAGGTTCCTGAACATACAAGTGATACTTTAAAAAGCAAAGACACTGGTCTTTGCTTTTAAAAAGCAAAGAATCTGGTACTGACCCAGATTCTACTAAAATTTTCAGATCTGGATTCTGACTCATTTGTATTTCCTGGGCATGGATTTAGCTTGGTACTGTAATCACACCATCTGAATTTCCTGAGGGCAGAATTGTATTAAAACTATAAAATGCAGCTCAGTAAAACATTATATCACACTTGGAAAAGCTTAAAAGTGCAGTGTAAAGCCAGCAACCATGTAAAGATTTGGAAGGGTATCCATGGACATAGTTCTAACAGGCAGAATTTTATAATTCTTTCATTATGACTTTTTACCATTCCTAATTTTTAAACATTTCTTGTAGTAATGTCCCATTACATTTTAAGAGTCTCATCCAGCACAATTTTCTGTTAAATCTATAATGCAGTCTCCAGGGCAAAACTGTATTTTAAGGACTGTTACTTTGCTAGAGCAATGCATGCCTGTTTTGGGAGCTGCTTTGTTTGGTTGGCTTCTGTTCAGTAATCAATCCTCTCAGAGCAGTAATAAACAGAGGCCTGCAGCCGAGAATTCAGATCAGTGTGCAATGCAGCCCCACCCGGCATCTTTGGGGGCCTATCAGGTTGACTCAGCACTACAGTGATGGTGGAAAGATGACCCTGTCGCAGCTTAAGCTCCTTCCCTGGCTCTCAAAATCTTCAGTTTTCCTACTTGACCTCCCCAGGAGGCACAAATGACCTGATAAGGTTTCTAGTTTTGCCCCCATCCTGCTTTTTCCCATGGCTGCTCTCCGCCACGACTGTTTCCGTCTGTTCCTCCTTTCCGAGCCATTTCCCAGTTGGTGCGGCTTCCTTTGGGGCACAATCCTATGCAAAGAAAAAAGTCCTTGGACTTCCAGCATCTGTCTCCAGTCTCCATAGGATATTGTTTACACATTGTGTGTTTTCTTCATTGTGCCCTCGCTAAATAGCTTGCCTTTATTGTATTTCCTCCCTGTTCTTCTTGTCTCTCCTGAATGTACCCGGATGGAGATGGTAGACCGGGCACCAAATTTGCAGGGGTCAGAGAATTTATTCATTCCAGATAATTTTTTACCCTACTTCTCTTTTTTAAAATTAAAATGTCAGTTTAGTTCACAAGATAAAAACAAGATGAACTGCCACAAATGAAATCATGATAGAAGTGTACCAACATGGCTTAAGTTCTTAGACAGAAACACTCCATGCTTTAAGAGATCTTTCCCTGTGCTGGTGCCACAGCAGGGAAGGCCTTGCTGTGTATCACAAGGCCAACGGAGCAACATAACCTTGAGCAAGCCTGCCCCATTCTAATTAAGTGACCAGGGTGGTTTATTTTGTTTGTTTGTTTAATTTGTCTGCCACCCAGCAGCTGAGCTATCTGGATGGTTCACAATAGCCTATTTAAAAACAATATACATACCATTAACACATACTAAACTGTAAAGGTTACCAAAACAAAACTTAAAACCAAATGAAGACAGGAAAACAAGAATATGTATTTATAATAATAATAATATTAATCTATTTCGTTTCTATACCACTGCACTGCTGAAGCTGTCTGGGTGGTTTACACAGTCCATAAAAACAGAAGGTGAAAAAATTCAAAAAGTTGTAAACAGCCAAATAAACATGATAAAAAGAACCAATAGCAAAGGATTAAAAATACTGCAGAAGCCTAAGACAAATCACAAACGGCAAAGGACTTTCTGATCATTAGTATCAGAATTAGAATTATTATCTTCCAGTTAATTCTATACCACCCAAAGAAAAAAAAACTAGTTTTGGTTTTCTCAGTTACAAGATTTAAAACAATGCTTACTACCCTTATTTGTTATTGTTAAAAAGGAGGGGGGTTTTTTTGGTTGAGCTACTGATTTTTAAAAGGCTTTAGGCCAACCTTCGAGTAGCCCACAAGAGCTCCTAGCTCACCGAGTAATTTACTAACTTGCAAAGAGATTATAAGAGCTTGCATTTCCACCTTGGCTACGTGGAAGTGGAAGAAATGTTCAGCAGTCTCTGCAAATGCAGGGGAATTAAATGTGAACAACACACCAGCGTTCCTGCTCGGTCCCCTGTATCGTCTGTGCTTCAGTATGCAATTGCAGCATTCTTGCAGGACCGTTCTCGCAGGCCACATCCATTGCTCTGCAGCCTTCTGCCTCACTGAGAGGATCCCCCCCCCCCCCGCTTCCCTGGATTCCAGGACTTCTTCCCAGCCGCACAGAAACAGGACTGCAATGGGGTTCGTTCTCTGATGAGTGGACCCTCCTGGGCGACTTCCCCAGCACAGCTGATCTGTGTCAAAGTCTTCCCTGATGAAAGTGCAAAGCAATCTAGTTTTAAAAACCTCCTTTACTGTAGGGTTTCTGAGCACTTTGTATGATGTATGTGCATTTTGCAAAAAGCTGAGGGAATTAGCACCTGCATTACAGGTGAGGGCTTGTGGCTGGGCTGGGAGATGCTTTAGCCCATTAAGTGAATTTGTCGCCTCCCCCACCTGCTCTCCTTCCCCCACCCCATAGCTTAAGTTCACAACATTAAAGTCACCCATCCAGATTTCAGCCAGGCCTGAGCCTGCTTAGCTTTCAAGATGAGGCAGAATCAGGCACTTCAGGCTATATGGAAGCTATATTAGAGGAAAATGGATTGTTTGCCAACCTTAATGGAGAAAGAAAAAACCATGACCCTAAATTATTATTACATTATATCATGCCTTCCTTTCTCTGGCAAAGAATCCAAGGCATTTTACAAGGTTATCTTGACTTCACTTTATCCTCATAACAACCCTGCAAGGTAGGTTAGGCTGAGAGTCCTTGATTGGGCCAGAACCTCTCAGCAAGCTTCATGGCTGAGTGTGGACTAGAACCCAGATCTCCTGAGTTGCAGTCCTGTACTGTGGTCACCACATCATACCGGCTAATGTAAAATGTGTTGTTTCGCATGTTAAAATGCATTGACGGCATTGTTGCTGAAAGGGGGCTTATCGTGGCTTCTGAACCTAGTTGTGCGAACAAGCCAAGGCTGTTAGCCCTGAACAACCCATAAAGAGACGCCACAGTTAATTGCTAGCTTGTGAGCTATGGATTGTTTGTCCTTCTTGGTTATCTTAGCTGGATTCAGACAGCATGATAACCCATGGTTCGGAATCAGCAACTCGTGGTTCAGTGACAACGTGCACTCAGCCCATGCGTAACCCTTGAAGATGAGCTATTGTGTCATCTGAACCCTGTCATAATCTGGTCCCAAGGGAGTTTGCAGGGTTTAAAGATGATAACCAGCCCAGTACTTGGAATTCAACCTTGGAAAAAAACTGGAAGCTGAAGCAGAACGTTGCATGGTTCCTAGAACGGTTACAGAATTTCCCACCTCCTTTTGGGCTAGCCGAAATGTCCAAACACTTCTTGAAAGCATGCTCCTGGCTGGCTCCAATTCTTTCGGGGGTTAACAGAGGTTTATGCAAAAAAACCTCTGTTCAAAATTGGTTTTTTTTTAAAGTAAGTTTTATTATTATTTCTCTACTAACTAACAAAAAGAAACAAAATCATCAATCATCAGATTTGTTCTGATGATCAAAATTGTAACTTGGAATCTCTTCTCTTTCTAGGTGCAAATTCTTCAGCTTGACAGAGACTCCCGAGGACTATACGATCATGCTGGACGAAGAAGGTTTTAAAGGTACCAGAGTGGCACTTTTATCTTGGGTAATTTGCCTTGCTGGCATTATCTCTGTGGGCCAAACTCTCCCTTTCTGCTCCACACTCTCTGCATTTCGTTCTGATGTTCTGCTCTCCATCTGCTGCAGCCTTTCAGAATGGAAGACGAAGGGCACAAAAGCCAGGAGACTCGTTAGACTAGCGCTAGCAACTTTGAGAGACCGTGTGGTGTGGGGCCGGGACTCAGCCGATTCGGGTTCTAGTCCCTGCACAGCCATGGAGGCAGCTGGGTGGCTTCAGGTCAGGCACAGACTCTCAGTGCAGCCTACCTCACAGGGCTGTTGTTGCGAGGATAAGATTGAGAGGAGAATGCTGTAAGCCGCCTTGGGTTCCTTGGGAGGAAAAATGGTGGGATATAAATACAGGCCAGAAGTAAATACACAAGATAACAATACTTCTCCTTCAGGGTTCGGCAAAGAAGAAAAGTATCTTTGAATATGAGTAGGTTATAATAATAATACATCCATATAGGCTTGGACAGAATTTATCTGCTTAAGACTAAGGGGCTAGAGAGAAAAGCACAAATGTAAAGCATGTCTCTTTCAGAGTGTGGAGTGCCAGATGGTAGAGATACGGGAATAGCAAACAGGCTAGTTTGGATGCAAGAATACTGGCTTCCCCTAAGTTCTGTTCTGCGTCAACCCAAGGCCTTCACTTTGTCTGAAATTAGGAATGCTGCTTCAGGGAATAATCCTGTGCATGTTTAGGCGGGAAAGAGCCCCTGCTGCTGGCTGGGTTGTGCTGGGAATTGTGGGCCTTTTTTCTGTCTAAACTTGCAAAGTGTTGAGCCTTTTAACGTCTGTTTATTAACCAGACTATTAACCACTGCTTCGGCTTCTGCCTTATCCTGATAATAGGAAGTCCTCTTCACTTCCCCTTCTTTTTCTGTGTTCCCTTGAATCTTAGCAAGCCATACTTTCAGATTTCCTATCGAGGTTGTATGTGTCTGTACTATAAAAACTCACTTTTTAAAAGGAAACATTATGTAATTTTGCAATTCATCTGTAAGCATGTGGGGGTCACACAGGTTCTGCTTTGTTCACATGGAACAGGGCTTGGCTGGGTTGTTTGGAAAAAAACGGCATGCAGGCTGGTGTCTGTCACCTTAACATCCACCTGACTGATGCCCAGCAAGGAAAAGATGCATGTTCACAATACCAGCCCTCCCAGACCTGAGCACCAAGGCAGAGTCACTCCTGCTTTTGGTGTATTTCTGACTTTCCAAGCTTGTGGCTTCCTGCTGTGGGACAGCCCAAGAACTTGTTACAGTTCCCTCTGAGGCTGTAGCAGGAGGTTTTGGAGCCCTGCGAGAACTTCTCTTTTCTCTTCCGGTCTTTCCCCAGCCAGTGCCACTTTTGTTTCCCAACTGCCTTGCCCTGGAGGTTAATTGCAAGGAAAAGTGGAAAGGCTGTTTTGCCAAACTGCACTGCTGCAGCTCCGTTCTAAGTCTAGGAATGGTTTGCGCGTTTTCAGCTAGCTTCTTTGGAGCAGGCACATCCGAGAGAGTGGCAGTTCCCCCGTGATGCTTCTTCCTGCACCTAAATTCAAGAGTGTTTCTCCCCACCACTTCCTCTCCAGTTCGGAAAAAAGTTTCCCTGGCAGCTTAGGGACTGGCAAAAAGGAAGACGACAATGTTCATGATGATGATGATGAGTATTATTATTTCTGCACAGTCCAGTAGCTGAAGCTCTCTGAGTGGTTAGCCACAACTGATACAAAAGCAATGAAATGCAAGCAAAATACAAGCACGATAAAACAGCAAGACATTTAGTACTGAATTTAAAGCACATTTACAGCTAAAGCACATTTGATAAACTAGACATAAGAGGAAACGTGTGATGTAATCCCCCCCCCCCACCATAGGCCACTATACCCTTTGGCTTGCCCCACAGCTGAAGGGGGGGCCACCTCTTAGCAGTTCCTCTTCTTTGTTGCCTCCACCAAGCCTGCCTGAAAGGAAGGCCTCAGATATTGAGCATAGTATCTGGGTAAGTTTTCGTCAGGAGAAATTTGATTTTAGGCATTTATAGACCGTGCATTTACTGGCGTCTCAGGACGTTGGACGTGTCCCAACTGCTGCTGTGGTGCCTAGCCGCACAAGCTATTACAGGTTAGATCCAGCAGCTTGAATCAGGCATGGGAGGCCGGGGGCAGCCGTGGCAAGCGGACCAGAACAGGTGCTCTCCCTTCAGAATTCTTACCCCGTCATTCACCTGTCCACCGCATTTTGCACAAGCGGCAGCTCCTGGGCAGTCTCCAAGGCCAGCCCCACACAGAGCGCAGTGCAGCACTCTAACATGGAGATTACCAGAGCATAGCCTGCTCAGACCAGGCTCTCCCTGCCTGGACCACAGCGATTGCAGCTGCCTGTAGGAAATTGGTTCCTTTCTTTTTGCTGAGTGAGAAGGGAAGCATGTTTGCAGGCTCCAAAAAGCGTGTCTGGAGGGTCCACTGGTGCCTGTGGATACGAATCCATTTGCCTGCAAGGTGCAGTGTGCAAGAATCTTGATTCCAGAGAGAGAAGCTTTGTTTCTTGTTGCTGGACTGCAGGCTGGTTTCACTTGCACCCTCAAAGACCATAAGATACGATCATTTTCTCAGCCAGCTGCCTGAGGAAGTCACAGCATCCCCTTTGCTGCCTCTGGGCAGCCTCAGTCGTGCACTTCCTGGAGTTCCAGTTTTGAGGGCCGTGTCTTCTGAGTGACAGAGCCAGGGGCATGTGGTGCTGGGAACTTGTTCTGCCTCTGCTCAAAGACTTTCAAAATCTTTCCAAGCCAATGGCCAAAGGGGGACCAAGTTTTGTGTGTGTGCATGTGTGTGAGTGTATGAAGGAGAGGGAGGCATGTTTCAGCTTCTGCAAAATTGCTAGAAATATTTGCACAGGTTTGGAGCAGAGAGTTGTACCTCTTGAGCAACTTGTGCAAATAGTATAAATTGGCACAGATCAGGGTGAGGATCGCTGTTGTTCTTGTTCTTCAGGTCTCCCCGAATAGGAGACGCATGGAAGCCACCCCCCCCCACACACACACACACATGTGCACATTCTACCTTGGCCACCTTGAAATAAGAGCCTGTTTTGCTAGACAGCTCTCCTGGTCAGAGTGGCCTTCCCAAGGATGGATCGGGGTCTCTTTCATATGCTACTGCTGAAGCGACTTTGCAGGCAGATCCTGGGTTAGAGTATCCTGTGAGAGCAAGAAAAACCAACTTGCTGTTCTCTTTTTTCCAAGTTTAGGAGGGGACAGATGGACAGCGGCTTTGGTATTGTAAATCTCTTTTATCTACCCCATGGGGGAAAGCTGTGGAGCTGCAGGAAGAGAGATAGGAAGTGGCTCGAGGCTGCTCGGTCAATGCTGACAGCAGCAGCTTTTGTGCAAGCAGCTCTTGGAGCAATTCCAGAATGGGTTTGGCAGTACATTTTTCATGGCCTTCTCAAGCTGTGATGTTTTTGTCATGTTCCCATGGAAAAGGGCCCTCCCCTTGCCTACGGGGAGAGGGCAACTGGACTACCTCTGCAGGAGGAGAAGCCAACCAGTGCCAGGGAAAAGTCTTGAGTTTTAGTCAGGTGCTGGGAGGGGAAGAGGCAGGTATTTCTCTTCGGCCTTTATCCTCTCCTGCGTCTCTGATGGGATCCTGTAAGCAGGTCATTTTACGGGCTGTGTGTCCAGAACCAATTTCATACCCTTGCACGTTCAGAATCCCATGTGGTTCGAGAGGATTCTGGGGTGGGTGTGTTTATAGATGGCGGGTTTCAGAAGTGATGAAGCAATGCGAATCGGGTGCTTTTGGACCTAGTGGCAGGAACCCTGTAGACCTGGCTATGGGGTACGATCAGCCCCATTTCTGTTCCTCCCAGGGAGAAAAAAGCCCTATCCTGTGGCACAAGGGGAACGGTAGTCCTTCACTGGCTGCAGAACTGGCACCATTTCATCCTCTGAGTTGAATTCTTCTTATTTTCTTTAATGATATCCAAGAATTGCTAACATCCAGGACATTCCTAAGCCATGTATCCAAAACAGCCCTTTCTGCAGAGGATAAGATTACTGTCCTGGCCTGCTGGCAAAGGCATGCTTTTTCCAGTGGTTATGAAAAGCCCTAATGGCTGTTGCTTGCCTAATTTGTTGTGGAACTGAGTTTTATTTTATTTATTTTTGGACTGACTGTCTGCTACACCAGCCCAAAAGGCCCTTTGACTTTATTCCTGATGCTGAATTTCCAGCTCTAAAATCTTGGCAAGTGGATCGTGGACAGGGGATCGTGCAGTTTTTATTTATTTTTATTTATTTATTTTTCGATTTATATCCTGCCTTTATCCTACAAAGGGCTCAAGGCAGCTTACATCTCCTCCTCCATCTTCTCCCCACAACAGCAGCCCTGTGAGGTAGGTTGGGCTGAGAGTCTGTGACTGGCCCAAAGTCACCCAGTTGGCTCCATGGCTGAGCGGAGACTAGAACCCGGGTTGTCTGAGTCCCAATCCCATGCTCTTAACCACGACACCACACAGGCTCTCCAGATAGTTTCTGGAGTATTCGAGTGCTGAGTTCTTAAGGGCTTGGTAAGAAGAGGACCCAACCTGGCTTGGGAACGTGGAAAAAGCCAGTGCAGTTCTCGCACCTGCTAAGCCTGGCCTTTTAGCAGCCCCAATAGCTTCAGGGGCAGCCCCAAATAAAACACGTGGCCATAATTCAGCGGTCGAACTGTGCTGTCCGGAATGGCTACAACTGGCTCATGCACCAGCGAGGTGAAACCACTCCAGGCCTTTTATGCACTATTTCTTGGCTGTTACATTTATAGCTCACCTTTTTGTCTCCTGTAAGGAACCTGAGATGACCTGTGCAGGCCCCTCCTCTCTCTCTTATCCTCACAACAACCCTGTGAGGTGGGTTGTGCTGAACGTTAGTGATTGGCCCAAAGGGACCCAGTGAGCTTCATGGCCTGAGTGGGGACTGGAACTTAGATCTT